TTTTTCCCCCCTTTCCCCCTTTTTTTTTTTGGGGAAAATTTCGGCTTTTAAAAAAGGGGGTTTTTTAATTTTTTTTTTTAAAAATTGGGGGGGGGGAAAAGGGAAGGGGGTTTTTTTTTTAAAAAAAAGGGGAAAAAATTTTTTTTAAAAAAATTTTTTTTGGGTTGGGGGGGGGAAAAAGGGTTTTTTGGGGGAAAAAAAAAAAAAAATTTTTCCAATGTTATTTTTTTTTAAATTTTAAAAAGGGGGGAAAAAAGGGAAAAGGGGGGGGGGAAAAGGGGGGGGGGGGGAAAAGGAAAGGAAAAAGGGGGGGGTTTAAAAACCAAAAAAAAAAAAAAATTTTTTTTTGGGGGGGGGGAAAAAAAATTTTTTAAAATTTTTTGGGGTTTTTAAAAGGGGAAAAAAAAAAAAAAAAAAGGGTGGGGGGGGTTTTTTAGGGGAAAAAAATTTTATCAAAGGGGCAAAAAGGGGGGGTTAAAAAAAAGGGTAAAAAAATTTTAAAAATTGGGGGGGTTTTTTAAAATTGGGGGGGGGGGGGGGGGAAAACCCCAAGGGAATTGGGGGAAAAAAATTTTAAAAAATTGGAGGGGGAAAATTGGGAAAGGGGGGGTTTAAAAAAAAAAAAGGGGGGGGGGGTTTTTTTTGGGGGGGGGGGAAAAAAGGGGTTTAAAAAAGGAAAAGGGAAAAAAAAGGGAAGGGGGGGGGGGGGGGGGGGGAAAAAGGGGGGGAAAGGGGGGGGGGGGGGGGTTTTAAAATTCCAAAAAAAAAAAAAAGGGGAAAGGGGGGTTTTTTAAAATTTGGGGGGGGGTTTTTTTTTAAGGGAAAAAAAATTTTTTTATATGGGCCGGTTTTAAAAAAAAAAAATTTCCCCGGGGGGGGTTTGGTTTTGGCCAGTTTGGAGGGATAGTTTTGTATCTCTATACGTGTTTTACGTACTTCTAAAAATTTTTTCATGGGAAAGGGAAAAGAATTCCCCCTCTTTAAGCCATGCGTGTTGTAAGAGGCGACCCCAAAAAAGCCGGGGGGCAAGGGGTAGTAAAAACCCCCTTTTCCTTTATTATTACTAAAATTTTAAAAAGGGGAAACTTTCGTTTTTTTTCCCTTTTTGGGGCCCCCCACCCCAGTTGGTTTCGGATGGGACGTTGAAGAGGGGGGAAAAAAGACTTCTAAACTGTTGTTATTGAAAAAACACCTCTGCAAAAACAGTTGATTAAAGGGAGTTTAGGTGGGAAAATTTGAATTCTGAAAGCAAATATTTTTTTTTTGGGGCACCCGCCCCAAATGGGGGGGATTTAGGACTTTTTTAAAAAAAAAAATTTAAAAAATTAAAAATTTTTGGATCCCTATTTTAGGCTAACCATTTAAATAGCATAAAACCATGTACTGTACTAAAATACCCAAAAAATAACAACTTTAGAAAAGTTTGTTAAAATAGGTTTTTTTGGGTGGGAATTTAGGAGCACTGAGGTCGAGCAGTGCTTGGGACCTGAACTTGCGGAGATACGGGAGGCTGGCAAAACCCTGGAACCACCAGAATTTCCTTGGGGTCTTTTAACGGCCCTTTGGGCCTCCCCTCACATGGGAGTCCCCTTTTTGCCTACTATTTGTTTGGGGGCCTTTTGCCAGTAAGTAGGGCCACCAATTTTTTTAAACACATTTGTTTTTTCTTCCAACTCCATTCAGGACCCAAAAAAAAAAAACCTTTTACCAAACATCGTCTTGCCAGAGGGACATTGAAACTTTCAGATCAATGCCCCCCCAAACTGCAAAATTTCTTTATCCCCCCTTTAGAGTGCAGGGACTTTACTGTCCACCTCCCGGACTCAAGCCGGTAACCGTTTCACTGAAAACCCTTCACAAATGTTCCCCTTTCCCATGCCCCAACAACACTAAGTTGTAAAAACCACTTTTTCTCCATCACTCCCATCTAACACATTCACACATTTCCCGTTGGTGTCCCCAAACCCCTTTACCTTTCCCTCCAACCTTTTCCCAGGGGAACCCTACCCGCCTTTCCCCCTACTACAGATTTAAAAAACCCAATTTATCTATTTTTGCTTCAGTCTCTTTTTAAATTTTCCCCCCACCCCAACAGTCCCTCGTCAGCCCTCAAATAAAACTTTTAGTAACCCCCCCATCTCCAATCTCCAAACTCTAATTTTTTTTGCAAATATTCACCCCCCTTCCATTGCCTCAAAAACTTTAAAATTTCCACTGGGCCCCCAGCCTCCTTGGGAAACAACATTCACAACCCTTGCTTCACACCCAATTTTTAAAAATTTTTTGGTACCAATATACTCTTTATACATTCCTCTTTTTTCATCCATGGATAATTTTTCCAATTTTTTCCCAGGATTAAAATAACTTTTTTACCAGAAAAAAAAAAAAAAATGGTGGACAAGTAGTTAAGGGGGGTCAATTTTTTTAAATTTTTACATAGTAGTGACAAGTTGACGATAAAAATTCTTTTGGGGTTTTTTTTCGTTTTACCCTTAAATTGGTTTTGGGGACCAATGTACAAAAATTTTTAAAACATCAAAAAAAATTTTTCCTTTGGGGGAATTTGGAACGAATTCTTCCCCCAAAACCCCTGTGTGCGTAAGAGGGGAACTAAAATGCAAGGAGCAAGGGGCTATAACCCCTTCTCCTGTTTACAAAACTAAAAATTTAAAAAAAAAAACCAAATTTTTTAGGTCACCCTGCCCCTTTGGGGATATTGGGTGGTTTGATGAAAAAAAAAGAAAATTTGTAAAATTAGTAGAAAAGTGTTTAAAATTTTTCTAATAGTCTTTAAAACCCCTTTCCCGGGTCCATCCCGTAGATCAACGGGGGTTTTTTTTCAGGGTCCAAAACCCTAGATCACGTCACGACTCAGCTCAATCTGATAAAAGGGGAGTGGTAAAAAATTTTTTCCTAGATAAAAAGAAAAATACATCTAAGGGGTATGTGTGCACCAATAAAAAAAATTCCTGCCCGCACTGGGTATAAAAGAGAGAAAAAAAAAAATGAGACCATGATTTTCGATTAAAACAGCGACTTTGCAGTGTTTTTTTCGTATGTTTTTTATAGTTGTATTTGTGATTTCTTGGTCTCATTTGATAGAATGGAAGACATATTACAGAAATAGAGATAATTTTGATTGGTGTTAGCACTGGAAATGGCTTGAAATTGAGCCCAAAATGGCGGAAATGTTAAATTTTTTGCCGATGTTCAAGAGTAAACAAACGACCTCACACGTCTAATACACGCCAGCTGGTGGTCTAATATACATTCACAAATGTGGTGATGATATTTATACAATTATTACAATATTGCATAACAGTAAATCTTCTATTTTTTGGTGTGAATAAAAATTCATTGTGAATAAAAAATCAAAATGGAATTTATTTGTAAAGCCTCAAAACATAACTAATGAACAGAGGAAATGTTAGTTTAGTGCCAGGAATACCTACATTGTTTATTCTGGACCCTATTTTGAAATTGGAACATTTTGAACTTTGTGTTAAATTGGCCAAATTACCAATTTCCGGTCACTTTATTTTGTAGTTGAAACAGTTGACTTGGCGATTTCTTGTGCTCAATCGATAGAATAGAAGTAATACTAGTGAAATAGCTGAGAATTTGGTCGAACTGGAAATATTGTAATTGGCCTAAAATGGTAGTCAAAGTCGCAAGAATACGCCAATTCGTAAATATCGCTGACATCATCAAAATTCACGAGAGCATAATTTCGTCAATTTTCCATCAAATTTCGTACTTTTTGTTTTATTACATTCACAAAAAGATTCTCTACCATTTCATAAGAAAAAATAACAATTTTTTTTTTTGAAAATTCTTGGACACTGGGGCACCACTTCAGATTTTGGCCTTGGACCCTGAAAGGGTTAAGCAACATTACATACACTATGCTCTACTGTAATACATGCTGTTCTACCCATATCTCAGTTATGGTATGTGTATTGACATACAGCAGCAAATCCTGTAAAAACCAGTCAGCTGAACAAAAAGCCAGCTCACAGGATATTTATTATTGTTCAGGATCTAGACACCACACACAAATATACAAATTAAAAAAAAAATGTGCCTCATTGTATATTCCTGAAACAGCCATCTAGTGTAATTCCATACCATTATTATTATAATCCCAAGGGGGAAAAAAAGCGCTAAACCCCGGAGGATTATGACAGCGCCTGGGGGGGGATGTGGAAGCAATTCAAGGCTTAATTCGGGGAACAGGAGCACAGATCCAATTCCTAATCAATAGCCCCTCACCAGTCATCAAGAACCATCCTATGAGGGGTAATTCCGTAACAGTGCTATTTTTATTTTACATCCAAGTTATAGATTATGCTTGTATTTTTTATTATATATCATTGTACTTCCAACCGATTTTTGTTATAGTATTGGTTAAGATTATAGTTTTTTAATTACTTTTCCGAATTCTTACGTAAAGGTTGAAATTTAAGAAAGTGTTGAGTTTAACATTTCATTACCAAGTTATACTGTGGATGCAGGTGAGAGGCTCTTAATCAAGGAATTGTGTGATCTATTTTCCTTCCCTTGGACTGAACCTGTTTATGACCCCGTATGGGTTTAGCTCTCCTCATCATAAAATGTTAATAACAAATTTCACTAAATTTCTCGATTACTAAAATTTGTATTACAATGTTTTATGGAATAATACATCATGGGGAGAAACATAAACCTTTAGAGTTTGTATATAGCACCTGGGCATTGAAAGGCATTCAAGGTTTTTGATCATAGCAGGGAAAGACAAGTCCCAATTTCCTGTATTACAAGCTAGCCCTCAGATCATGTACTTTTAAATTATTTTTTATTTTTTACCATTATATTACCAGTGAGACACGGCTCTCCTCTCCACTGCCTTCACAGGTCACAGGATGGAGGAGTAAACAACCCCAGGTAGTGTGCCATGAATCAGAGGTAGTTCCCCCCCATCAGAGCCACCAAAGAACCGCCATCTCTCTCGGCTGCTACAGAATCAGAAAGCGAGTGTCGAGAACTCTGCTTCAATGAGGGTCCTCCAATACCCAGAAGCTAAAGCGATAGCCATATGGTACAGTGACTATGATGGCAGCTCTTATCGCTCACTACATTCCACAGAGGAATCGTCGCGGCTATCAATATGCTCCATAAGATTATGGCCCTGCTTCTAAGTACTATAATTCTGATGAACGCATGTTTAACTATGCCACCACTTTTATGCCCAACTATGAACAACGTCGACTTAGACGTAATCGATATAATTACCTCGATGACTACGATGACTATCAAGATTTTCCCGAATCCGACAAATATTACGACACATCTAGTTTAAGTCGAGAGCACAGTGATAGTTTTATATACGTTTCTTATCCCCCGGAAGTGAAAAAAAAATTTAATGAAAACAGGTGATGAAATAATTTTGCAAATTTTAAATTGACAATGCATTTAAAATGGCATTTGTTTACCAATACTGTACTAGTTTACAAAATGTGTAATAAGTTCAGTAGCTAAGCCAATACTTTGAAATTTCCTTCAAACAATTAGATTAGCAATTAAATTTCATGGACACTTGGTAGATTTGTCAGGATGAGCATGATTTGAAGAAAGACATTTATGCAATTTAAATTTTTATGTTAACCAAGCTAGGGCAGACATGTTTAATTGCAGCATTTTTTACAAGTTAGAGGGCATTTTAATTTTAATTTTTTTTCCCCACTGGTGAGTTCTGTAGCACCTGTTTTCTAGAAGCTTTTTTCTTTAGTGTCTACATATACAGTAGTAGCTTAAAAAGCATGAACAAAAGTTGGATAAAGAGCAAGTAGATATGTACAGTACACAAGACATTTTAAGAGATATTGAATGATATGAAAAAATGGATCACATAAGTAAAATATGCACAACTTTCCTGAAGTTGTGTACCAAAATAAATGCCAACCATTAGTTGTACTGTGTGTGTTCCTATGGACCAAATTTTTATAATATTTCAAGAGGAACTAGCAGTGCTTTTAAGAGATTGGTGGCCTCAACACCAAATTTTATTTCACATAAAAAAAAGCTCATTTGCACAGGTTTATTTATCACTTTCAATCATTGTCAGCAAGTTCTCTTTAGGACCCACTGCTGCTCTGCTAGAATATTTTTTTTTTTTATTTTTTTACCAAGGGTTGACAACAAGGGATCCTTGGTGTAACGGCCGATAGAAACGCTATTTCACCAGATGTCACAGACTGCACTGTTTAATAATATTTTTTAATGTTGACCAGTAAATAGAACTCGGTCATCAGTCTTTGTGGTTGCTATGTGAAAAACTCTCCTAGATATGCCTTTTGATGTGCACAATGAGTATGTACGACATTGCATTAGGTTTGATATCTTGATTCCAAGACTCGCGTGGTATGGAGAGAGAGAGAGAGGAGCAGTGCTGGTTGTATTTAGCTCTCTGCTTTAACACATACAAGTGTATGTTTCTGTTCTAGCACGTGAATCTCCTAGGACAAAATATTTTATATTTAGTGGTACTCTGTCACGTGTTTTAGGCCCGAGTAACAAATAGTAAACTGATATTCACGATAATCTGTAAACAAGGGTATGCCAAGCAGATAGAACTATGTTAGTGGAGCTTTCTTGGTAACTACCCTTGAAAGAGTATTTCTAAATTGATGGATAGAGAACATGGACTGTGGGCTATTTGCACCCACAATTACAGGAGTAAGTTTCAGATCATTAGTGATTAGCAAAATGAGGGCGAGTATGTTTTCATGCTGCTGTGCTGTAGACCCCGCCAGAAAAACTTTTATCGTAGAGATTTGTTCATAACTCACAGGGATGCTCTTCACCTGTTGAGAGAAAAAAAAAAAAATTTGTATCAAAATTTAATTTGTCTGCAGTTGTTTTGCATGAAGCACATCAGGAAATTACCATATATATTTTCAAAATATTAAGGGAGTTGCAATGATGTTCTTACTCTGGGAAAGAATATTGCACAAGATTTATACTAAATCCTGTGATTATTATTGTTTTGCATTCATCATGAGAGTGCTAAACCCATAGGGAGGTCATATACTGCCTGGTGGAATGAGAAGACGTCTAGTTTGAGCCAAAGAATTGGAGGATAGGTTTAATTTTGTGGATGAAGAGCTCCTTACTAGTATCAAGGCACTACCCTTGAGGGTATTAAATTGGGAGGGACCTTGAGGCTGGTGAAGGGCTCGGTTCAAGAAGCTGAACCCATCTTCCATTTCCTTGGATTGAACCTCGGTACCTCCCATCACCCAGGGACTATGTAACTCCTACAGATTTAGCACTTACCCCCTGATTAAAATATAAATTCATTTAAATTTTACATTATTTGTTATTTAAAGCTTTGACAGAGCAAGACTCGACTAGAAAAAGAGTTGGTATTATCAGTTAAGCTAGATATTCATTGTTCCTGAGACCAAAGAATAATGTGCTTAATTGTCCTGTTATCCCAAGAAACATTTACTTAGATTTTTTTCCATAACTTCAACAGTTACTTAACAGTAGGTTAAGAATTTGGCAAATGATATGGAGAGGGCTATTTTCATAACTGTTTAAATATGTTCTTTAACAATCTACTGTTTATCTTGTATATCCCCCCCCCCCCCCCCCCCCGTTAAATTCGGTTTTTTCATTTACTGTGGTCCGTCCTGCTTCCCTTTAGGAAACTGTCACTTTTGTAGACTTTCTTGTGTCAATAGAGCACGAGTAAGGTTTGCAGGAGCATTAGTCATTTGCTATAGAGAAAGGCTATTGGGACTCTATGCTATATCAGTAGCTCTTACTTTTTTAAGCTGGTTGCATGGAAGGTCAGGCTAGCAGACTGAAGGAGGTACCAGCTGCATTCTGTATACATTTGAAGCCTGGTAACAGCCTCATTTTTACTTGAATTGAAATCTTAGCATGCTTCATAATAGCTAAACTGGTTCCTGTTAGGACACAATGATAAAATGGAGAAATTAGTTTTTTTTTTTTAATGAAGTATGCTATAATAAAATATTCGGCTAGTATGTCAAAATTGAATTGTAAGTTGTATACCTAACAAGGATGATGAAAAAAATGTACAAACAGTGATACAAAAGGCTGTTACAGATATAGAAGGACAAGAATGTGTACTGTTAAAATACAGGTACAGTACAGTAGAATATTCCTTTTCATCCTTGACCTGTGAGTGAAAAATGGATGTGGATTTAATTACATCAAAGCAGGCATGGGCAAGCAAGCATTGAGAAATATATTGAAGGGTGGGTGGGATGGTAACATAGTATACTGTAAAATACCCTAACAATGCATTAGAGAACCTGTTTCATGGAAATGGAAAAAGTGCATAATTAACTAATGAATAGATCTCATTGAATAGGGGGAAAAAACAGGCCAAATGATGATGTTAAGAGAGTTACCACCAAAAAGAATTTTATGATTTGGTGTCATTCTTCAAACTCCTTCACCTCACCTTTTCCTTTCTCTCAGCATCTACTTCAGCTTCAACAAACTTAAATAGCCTATTAAGAACCTATGAACAAAAGATACCAAACTGTTTGTACAGGTCTTACTCAACGTATGTTAATTTTCAGTACTAAATACACAATAAATATAAACCATTGAGACATTTTGCAACCAGTGGCTTTATCAATCCAATACAGAGAATAATTACAGAGATATGGAAAATATATGTAGTCAGTAGTTTGAGGTGAGTGGTCACTCAACCTTGATAGATTTCAGGTCCCTCCCGTAAACATACAGGATATTATTGAACTTTGAAAGATTTGAACAAACTCATGTTGCAATAATCAAAAATGGCTGAGGCAGTTTTAATGTGATAAGTGCAAAGTTCTATTCCCTATGGGATAAAGAGAACCCAAGAATGACGAAATAAAACGTAACAATATGTCATTCTTTAGGCCGAAGCTTTTTGCCTACTCGCATAGCTACATAGAACCACAAAATTTGGATAGATAGTATAAGAGGATAAAAATAACTGGTGGAATGACATGCTAAAGTTTATTATTACTATATATATTACATAACTTTTGTGTTTACTCTCTACAGGAAATTCCTGCTTAACATTATTCTAATGCAATATTTCTTGATATATACAACAGCTGAAATACCAAGGAATGCATTTACTAGACAGTACAACAGTCACATTGACTTTTCCTATTCCTCCCAGATTAGCCTGATTTTATTTGATTTAAAAAAAACACTAGAACCATTTGGTTATTCACTGTTTTAGTAATCCATTTTTAATATCAGCTTGCTACTGTTGTGCCCAATTCATTTTCTAATTGCATAAATCATAATCACAAAGCAGGTAAAACTAATGTATTTAAAGTGTATTCTTTACATTCCACACACTTTGTCCATTATTTGTTCAGTGTCAGCAGCCATAAATGTTGGCAAATTTAGATGAAAGGGGAAATCTCCCCACTATTTATGGCAAAAGAGAAGCTAAGTTCTTAGTCAGGCAAGACTGGGAAGAATGGCACCCTTCCCAGAGAAGAGGCTACTACCCTTAGGCACAAACAACTCAGCATCACTAGTATTAAGGAGAACCATCATGGGAGTGAGGGAAGTGGGGAGGCTGGCTGGTGGTAGCCTACATGACTGGTAGACAAAGTAACATAGGGCAGTGAGACTTGCACTCTATAGGGGTGGCATAAACTCATTTCCTAGGTATTGCTTTTGTTTTGAAATGCCACTCAAGACATACCTCATGGCTCATTTTTTCCCTATTTTAACTACAGTGATAAATAGATTTATTGTGCATGGACCTCTTCAAGGGGGGCTCCTTGGCGTGCTGAAGAGGCTCTTGGTCTGAGGAATTAGACCTGTCGGTCTCCTTCCTCAGACCGAACCTAATTACCCCCCAATCCCCCCTTCCCTATCCCATCCTCCCCTTTTCCCTTTCCTCCTCCTCCTCCTCCCCACCCCTCCCTTTTGCCCTTCCTCTTTTTGGCCTTTGGGATTTTTCCCACAGGCACGCTAGTTCCTAGGTAGGGAAGGGTACCAGGTGGAACCATCCCATTCCGTTGAGGTTTCTTGGCGGTGGCGTAGTTTGCCGTGGAAACAGAATCGCCTGGGTATGTCCCCGATCCCACTCCGGTATCCCGGAGAGTGGCTTTGGAGTTCATTCCGGCGATGGGTGTACTCTGGAAGCCACCTTTTGGAATACTTGGTGTGGTGGCCGAAGAGGTGTGCTTTGTGGCGGATATCGCGGCCGCCCTCATCTTTTGTCCACCGAGGTAAGCTCGGCAGATGTTGGAGTTGCTACTCCCGGATTTGCTGGTTTACTGGCATAATGGGTATGGGGTATGGCACGGTTCCATGCTGCATCTACGCTACAGCGGTGCTGAGGTCCTCTTGGGAGCGGAGGGAGATTCTGGCCTTTTCATTCCGCCTCCGGAACTATTCCCTCCCCCTGACCCCTCTCCCCTTTTTTTTATTCTTTTTTTTTTATTTTCTTTCTTTTGTTTTCATTAAAAACAAAAAGAAATAACCTAACCCAGGAGCACCCAATCCATGAACCGTGCTACCCCCGGCCCCTTCTGATTACTGCACCCCCGTTCTGACCCCTGCCTTGTCTTACATGGACACTCCCTACATGCCCTCCTGTACCTCTTGCCGGTGCTGTTTCCTCACCCGCTACAGGTACCGATGTCTCGACTGAACTCCTTCGATTATCTGACCTCCAGCCTCCTTTGACATGCTTACGGCCTCTCCCTCTACGTGCGGCACTTTTCGAATCGCCGGGCCCATTCCACGTCGAACCAACTCTGGTCCCAGACACCACGCCTAAACGCAAACGACAATTACACTGCTGATGATACTTCATCCACCTTCTCGTTCTTCTCAGAAAAGATCGACGGCGTCCTGCACTCGCCTTTCCAACGCTCAGTTTCAGACTGCAGCCCCCAAATATTTTGGGAACCCCCAAATTCTCACTTTACGAACGACTTTCCTCATACCGCCTAATCTTTCCGACCACAGTATTGGCAAGGCACACCTACGCCATGTTGGTAAAGATA